GGTTATGATGCGGGTCAGTCAAAGACTGACACAAGCCAAAAATTGGTTGACATGTAAAGATGTATTGAGACACGGTTACACAACAACAACAAAGCCTTAATCCCACTACGTGGGGTCGGCAAATGGAGGAGTGCAACACGAGGACTTCTCAGGGTTCACCCATCCCAGTACTACTCTCGCCCAAGCACGCTTAATATAAGAAAGTAAGATTGTTGTTTTTTAAAGAAAATTGTAGAGGAAGAATTGTAGAGGAACCCAGCCGTGAAGAAGACGACAGAAAATTCTCTTTAGGAACCAGAAATCAACAAGGAAGAAGCAAGAAAATGGAAAACTTGTTAATTCCAAGATGCATCGAGAAGACAAGTACAAATTCCGCCGAGAAGGCTAGAGGATCTTTGTAAGAATTGTGATCAAGAAGCCAAAGCTTTTGTACCACAATGATACCGGCAAGAATAACAAAATGAATATTGTTGATGTAAAGGAAACACAAGAATACATATTGCAAGACGCCACATGGGCGGTCAACTTCAGGATACAATTGCAAGGAAGATGCGTGGGTGGTAGCCCAACCCCCCTCCCAAAAGAAAGAGACTCACAATTCTAAAACTAAAATCTGCCCCTCTACACAAAACAACTCCTATTTATAATCACTAAGACCACCCTTATTACAAGTTGGCCATCCCAATAAAAAAAACACAAAAAAGAAAACTAAAATATAAAAGTTGAACTGTAATATAATGTGGACAGCACTAGTATTGACGCTTTTGCATTAGTTAGGCTTTAGCACAAGTGAATTTGATTTGCTTTGATTGAAGCAAGGATTCTATTTGGATATGATTTATGCTTTATTGATATTTGAGAGAGCGTATGTTCAAATATTCAATTTTGCAAAAATGGTTGGGAAAGGATGTGGTTGTAGAGAGGACATGAATTATATGGCGGAAGGAAGTTATGAGATGCAAAGGGTGAAATTCTCGTGGTGGTTTCTAAGAAGATGGTGGTTGATGATGGTAGTTTAGCAAAAAATGAAAAATCGTGGTGGATTTTTGTTTATTAAGATGGCTGAAAAGAGAAAAATGTAGGTGTAGAATAAGGGAGATAAAAATGTGATTTTGAAGATTAAATGAATGGATGACTTCATGGAAGGGAGGCAGAAGGTAGAGGTAGATTGCATGAAGAAACCATAAGATTTGTTATCAATCTCTGAAGTGGATGCTAGAAGAAAGCATTTCTTCTTTATTCTATTATCAACCATCAAAATTGCAAGGCTCTATATTTACAAAATTATCCTTAATAAAAATAACAAAATTACCCTTGAAGAAATATGAAAATGTCAAAATAATTTCTAAATGACTAATGGCCAACAAGATTGAGCTTGAAGCTTGAGGTCTTTACCTAAGTCACTAATCACTGAAGCAAGTTGCCAGTGACTTCATTGTATTTATTCTTCTTATTTACCTCTTAATATGTATTCATGCATTAATCTTTTGTAAATCATTAAACATTCAAATGTGTGATCAACATTATCATTACTTCTACCTGCCATATCAGCTAAAGTAACTTAGAAGTCAGAACTATATTAAAAATATATGAAGTTACTTATGTGAGAAAGCTAAAGTAAGAATTGGAACTGTATGCTGCTGAAACAATTAATTAGAAGAAACGACACCCAAATAGAAACAACTTTTGTTGCATTGCTCTAAAAAATATAGCAATGACGGTGTCACACAGGCGGATTGTCTCAATTTTGATGGGTTAGAGAATCATATTTCAGCATGCTCTCTTTTTATTAGCAAAAAATAGAAATAAAGGTTAATAACCTCCGCCAAGCTTGATTTTATTTGGACCAGTATTCTGGATTGCATTATAATCTCCTGTGGATAGTCCTTTTTTTCCTGTTATACTTATTTCATCCGGCATCTCTTCTGATTTCTGTTGGTTTTTCTGCCTTGGCTCTTTTTGTCATTCATGTCGATTACTTTTATTGCATCCAATAGGTCAATTATGGAGCAGAAAATGTTAAACTTATGACATTCGGACAGCCTCGGGTAGGCAATGCTGTTTTTTCATCATATTTCAAGACACATCTTCCAGATGCAATCAGGGTAACAAATGATCATGATATTGTGCCTCATCTACCACCATACTACCCTCTTTTCCCTCGGAAAACCTACCATCACTTCCCCACTGAGGTAACATTATATACATGTGATAAATATTTAATCTTACAGCATGTTTGGGACAGCTTCCTGCTTGTTTTACGTTTTCAGATTACCATCATAATTCTATTTGGAGGATTGTTTTCTTGTTGCTTTTTAGAAAATTCTAGGATTAAAAGTTCTTTTTGCAACCAAATCTGTTCTAGCGTGGTTGCTATGAGAAAGCTGTCTGTTTGACATTTTTGAAAAAAAAAAAATTATAATTTCCAACACAGATTATAAAAAAAAAAGTTTTCCCGACTTCAGCTTTACAATCACCTTTGCAAACAGTTACAGTCGTCTCAAACTAACTCTAATTTTTTGTGCTGTAACTTCAACCAGCTTCATGTGCAGTCTATATATTCTCGTTCCTTCTCTATGATCTTGTTGGCCCTTTATGTTTTTTGTCAAACTGGTTCACATTGCAGTTTTTTTTTTTTATTCTGTCTCAGGTATGGCTTCATGATGTTGGATTAGGGAGTCTCGTATACAAAATCGAGACAATCTGCGACGAAACCGGCGAGGACCCGTCATGTAGCCGGTATATTTGCCTTCTCATCTACTTCTCAAAATACCTGTTATATCACCATCCTCTTTTCTGTTTCTTTTAACAATGCTGACATATTCTCTATATCAAGGTCTGTCTTAGGAAACAGCATTTCAGATCATCTTGTGTATCTCGGAGTCAATCTGCAGGCAGAAACCTGGCGATCTTGTGGCATTGTAACGGACCCAAACATAAAGCCACATCAAATAGACCTTTCGGGGAATTTCATCATCTTGCGCGAACCAAATGCTTCAATTCTGAAACACAGTGCAGCATAAGGTAATTCACGTTGCTGTACTGATCAAATTGTTTGTCTCTATGTTTCAAAGATTAAAGAGAAAAAAAGGAAAGAAAAATGTGCACTGTACATATTTACATGACTAAAAACCTGGAGTAGCATTGTACATATATACTCTCTGCCAGGAAATATATGACTATTGGGTGCTACTTGTTTGATATGTTCATTATTCAATTGTAATGCAAATTAATAGTCCCAATCTCTCTTTTCCTTTTTTTTTTTTTTTTTTTTTTTTTTTGGTAAGGCAACAAATTGTTTGTGGCATTATTATCCTCCAGTTCGGGGAAAAAATATTACGTCCCGAGTCCGCTGTGTCACGTTGTTCGGGGAAAAAATATTACGTCCCGAGTCCGCTGTATCACCGGACAGAGCTCTGTGTCCGGACACCGGACAGAGCTCTGCGTCCGGACACCGAATGTAATATGTTTTCCATTTCAAGGCATTTGCACACAATTCTTATTTTTTTACAAAACTAACATCCACACTTTCAAATTTAGATTCATGGCTTTCAATTCTTTAACATGGCATTAAAAAATATTACCATTATTACCTTTGCAGAAGTAAAATACATTTTTTAGTGCGCAGGTTTGTATTGTGTCATCAAAATATAAATATTAAAGTTTTTGGTGTAAGAATACATATATAAATATGTAAGAATTGTATGATTTGTATGTAAATCCCCCCAATTTTTAATTGAAAATGACTTGTGAAGTATAAATTATTAAAAAAAGTTTAGTTGTTATTGATTTTAAAAATAATAAATTTATGTAAAAATCACGTAAAATATTTTATTTTTACCTTACATCAAAAGGTATGTCAATCTTATTTAATGAAATTAAGTTGCTTCTTATGCTAACTTATAACAAGTACTGATTAAAAAACTTCTGATTGTTAAATCTAAATAGGACTATTTTAACTAGGGGGCTTAACGAACTGAATAAGAACGAACAGAGCCCGTGTTCGTGTTCGGTTCATTTGAAATTTAGTTTGTTTGAAATAAATTTGTGTTCGAAATTGTTCGTGAAGTCACTGTTCGTGTTTGTTTCTTAATGAACGAGTAGAACACGTGCTGTTCGGGAGCGACGAGTTAGTTTGACATCCCTAATATTAATATATATAAATAATATATTATATTAATTATATAACTTATATTATATAAATATATAGTATATATATTAGTATATTATTAATATAATATATTAATATATTATTATTATTATTTTTTTATATATTATAATTTATAAAATTTAATTTTTTAAAATATCATAAAATTTATATATATAATTATTTTAAATTATTTTATATTTCGAACAATAACGATTCGAACACGAGTGAACATATCACTGTCGTGTTTGGTTCGTTTAACTAACCGAACGAAAAAAAAAATTGTTCACGTTCGTCTCGTTTACTTATCAAACGAATCAAACACGAACTCATTTACAAACCAAACACAAACTGTTCGCAAACAATGAGCTTTTTTGACAGCCCTAATTTTAACATGCTCATTTATAACACTCACAAATTCTGAAGGTTGGATATATAATTCCAATTCAAACAAAAACAACGTCTTGAAATAGTTCTTTTTATTTTCTAAGATTTACACCATATACTTATAATCAGCATAAAATAAATAATCTAGTATATTAATTCTTTAAATATTTAAAAGCCGACTAAAAATTAGATTTTCAATACAATAAATAATAAATAATAAATAATTATATTTTTAGTCATTATTTTTTGTAAATTTGGATCAAGTTTTAACTAAATTTTTAATCTATTTATTTATTTTTCATTAAAGCAAATTCATATATTTATATAAATTTCACATAAATTTCTATTTTTCTAAACAAACAAATGAATTATTACTATGTCAATGAACTATTATCATATATTAACATAACTTAGCTAGGGTGATAAATTAATAATTACAGAATGACTCCTATATAATTAATTATTTATTACTGGATAGCATAATGATAAATATAAAGATTGTAATTTTATACCATTATAAATCTCTAAAATAATCTATACTAATTTTACAACCCTATATTATAGTAAGAAAATAAGTCCAATAATAGTCTTTTGTAGTGTGGAATTATTGCTCTAAGCTTTATTGAATAAGCTTTTTTGTTTTTAAGAGTATTACTATATCACACCAATAATAGCACAAAAAAGATCTTGTAGCCGGAATAGCACAAGTGAAAAAATATTGAGTGTAATGGACAACCATGTAAAATTTTTCAAGTTTAGTGTCTGTTTGGGGCAGCTTGTGCGTTTCAGGATAAACTGCTTATCCTGAAACGGGCCCCGCATTTAGTGTAAAAACTCAAACGCAGTTTCGGATAAACTGATGAAACGCGCGAACCAAACAGTACGGCGCCGTTTTGAAAACGCCGCCCGCACTTATAAGTTGCCCAAACAGACCCTTAGTCTCTCCCTCTTAATATTCATTAGTGCTAGCATAACAAGACAACTTAGCTCTCAATGTGGACATATAACATTTCTTTTTTTTTATATATAGTGGTCTGATTTAAAATTTTAACTATAATGTGTGAAAGCTAACATAAAATAGATAAATTATCCAATGATATGGAACAATTATGAAGCAATGATTAATGTTTTATGATGCATGTTGTGTTGATATCATTAGAATATCATGATGCTTTAATTTTTAATAATATCATTGTAGCTTTATTGTAGTTATATGCAGATTTAACTAGAAGATTCTTTCTTATAAAGTAGTGTTAAAGTTTGCTTAATGAAAAATAGTACCCCATATACCTCCTTCTAATCTTTGCCCCAACAAGAAGAGAAACTCTTGCAATTATGTCAAGAGAGTGAGATTAAACAAGTTGGAGGAGATATGAGGATAATTAGGATATTGAAAAGGAAATGAGATGAAACAAGACGGAGCAAACATGTTAGGGGGTAAATTTACTAATTCACTTTAACAAGTATTATCTAATATGATTTGATTTATACTTGTTATAAGAGAGGGACCTTTTATTATGACAATATATATTTAAAATAAATTTAACATAAGACATTAAGAAAACACATTATCCTCCTTAGGATATATGATAATAGTTGACTGACATCAAGAATATATTCAATTATTCTCCTTAGGATATGTGACTAGCAACTAGGAAGGTGGACGTTTGCCTTTATATTGACATAAGTGTTAGCCATGGTGGTAATATTAAGCTTCAATGATGATGGCGATTGTGTGTTTTAGCCTTATTCATGGTGTGATGCATTGGACTTATTAGCACCATAGGACTTAAAGTTAGTAAAGAAGGCAAGTTGTGGCATTATTAATGAAATCAAGAATTGACCTTATTAGTGATAATGTACATTGGCATTGATTGTGATATAAATTATTTGCATGAAAGAGATGGTTAGTGCCAATTTTATTAAAGAGAATCAGGATCGACATTATTAGTGATGAAAAATTTCAATACGTGATAGTGCAATTTGTGGATGTTGGCATTATTGGTGATGGTAGATAACAACTTTTATGGCGACAATATGCATTAGCCTTGATGGTAATGATGGATGTTAACATTGTAGCAATAATATGCATCAATGTTAGTAGTTATGATCGGTGTTTTTCTTAAGAAAGCAATGGGAAATAAGCATTATTGGTGCTAATGGGCATCAATATTATTAATGATGTTGGTTGTCAGCTTGATATTGACATGATATCAAGTGTTTTTTAGCATAGCTCTTAATTTTTTTGAGTCACAATTTTATAATTTGAATCTTATTATGGCCACAAGGATCTCCATCACCCCCACAATGTTTGAAATTAAAATCTATTTATACATTTTAAAAGGGGACATCCAAGTTACTTTCATAAAATATGAAGATATTCTATATCCTTCTGAGTTCTCTCTTCATATTTTATAAAATATTATAACCATTGTGAATTTAATCAAATAGAATGTCTTCAAGCTATCCAAAGTTCTCATTTTCATTAAATTCACAATGGTTTAGTCATAGCACATGCAGATGCATCGATTTCATAGTTTAAGAAATCACCTAATTGATTGATTTGTAAACAACGATGTTTCGTGTGCTCTGTGTAATTATCCAAAAAAAAAAAAAAAATGACACGAGCAGACAACAGAAACAGATCGTGTCTGTAAAATAAGATCAGCCGAACCAGAACATGTGAAATTACTTTTTGGATATTCCTTTCTCTGCCCAAATGATGGGTAGTTTTGAAAATAGTTGGCCTGCAAATGACACATCAAATGAAACAATGAAATTTCAAGTTCTTGGCTAATTCATCTGCTGACTGAAAAAAAAAATATATATATATACTTTTATACATGAGGAAGAAGGCTGTATGATCCATTTGATATAAAAGAAAAGGAGCATTTACATACATACAACCCAAGTCCTACGTATTTACATATTAAACACCTAAATTTTACTTTTTTATATTTATACCACACAAATCTTTCATATCACATCAAAAATATCCATTGTAACTTTAAGAAATTAAGTAAAATACACCTTGTCATGCATAGATAAGTATGTATAGATACGGAAGTATGTATGTAAGAAACAAAGTTTAGGTGTTACGTATGTAAATACATAAGAATTGAGTGGTATGTATGCTAATGTTTTGAAAAGAAAAGGTAGTTTAAGAAATAAACAGTCACAACATAATCTAGAAACAAAAAGAAATGAAATGGCAGAGTACAAAGGTTTTATTTTTTTCCCAATGTTTGCTTTTGTTCTTTTACTAGATAGAGCCTCCATTAAAGATGCAAGCGGACATGAAGATTCTCCTTCAAATAATGAAATGGCAGAGAAATTATAAAAAATGTTTAGGCATGGCATCATTTAGCAAATGAGAGTACATCTATGTTGGTAAATTGATGGGTTTGAAAGATAAATAATAGAAGGGCAATCATGTTCATGATAAATATGGATAGTTCTTATAAGAACAAATCACCAAGCCAATATACTGAAAAGAAAGGCAGTAACATCAATCTAACCACAAAGGAAAATATGAATTTGATCAGAATCTTTTTGTTATGTTGGTGCCTAGCGTAAGAGCAATTTTATCTTCTGTGTAGTTGAGCCCAATTTTGTCTTTTGTGTGCCTAAGGGCAATTTTGTCTTTTATTATTTATTATTGTTTGTACAAATAGACCCTAATAGGTTTAGGGTTAGGTATGCATGAGATTATTGCTGTAGTTTTAGGTTTTGGTTTTGGGACAGACTTCCTACCTCTCAAATTGTAAGAATTAGAAGAAATCGCCTACTTCTCAAATTATAGTTGCTTATCTTTTGTATTCATGTAAGTTGATCACGTTTATTGTTTTGATTTTATATCATTGAAAAAATATATTGGTTTGCCTTCATTTTTCTAGAAAATTGTGCAGATTTTTGCAATGAAACGTACCAAAGTGATATCAGAACATTTTGATCAGGGAAGAGCCCTAAGGATAAGTAAGGTTCCAACTTACCAATCGGGCTTGCAACAAAGATCTGAATCTCCCATCTTTCTGCTACTTCCGCATCTATCTCTGCAATAGAGTCGTGATCGAACCTAGGAAGCAACGACAGGCTCGGAGCAAAGACTCGAATATTTTATCTTACACCTCCATTGCGACAAAGAGAGTTGGCGAAAAAGACAACAAAGAGATTGTTACTGAGAACCAAAACGTCCCTTCGCAATACAAGCATGTGTAGAGATTGCAGAGAAGTCAAAGATGGGGAGTCGCGGCTTGTAGACCCTAAATTCCCATATTTCTCTTATTCCCACTCTGTCTTCATGGCACAATCGAGATTAAAGCTAGCCGAGGTGGTCACTTGGGGATTATGGCATACAGAGACTTAAACCTTCCATCTTTCTCCTCCTTCCACTCCGTTTTCGCAATATAATAGCGGGATCACGATGTCCTACCGTGATAAAATTGCGATCCAAGATCCTAGAAGTCAACGTCGGTCGTGCCCTAGTGATGCAACATCTCATGATCTGGAAAGCCAACAAGCAAGGTGGGAAACCAACCGCAAAATTGCGAGTTTCGGAATTGTATCAGTGATGCAGTAAATAAGTAGATCTTTTGATGTCAAATTAGAGAAAAAGATAAGCCAAACATTTCTCGATAATGGATGAGTGCTTCTTATTCATGAAGGTGTGGTTTGAGTGAAGATTCACAACCATGGAAGAAATTGTGAAAAAGATCACGGGTATTGTGAAATTGCTTATCTTTTGTATTCATAAAAAACTGCCTTCGCTTGCCAAGGAATTGAGCGGCGACATAAAAAACGGACGTGACGCAACAATCAGAGGGATTCACATATGAGGGAAACATTTCTACTTTAGACGTATTGGGAGTTGAGGTATCAAGCGAAGAAATCAGGAGTGGACTCAAGTAGCAAAACTTGAAAGAAATAGTGCGACATTCGCATGTTGACCTCATTTTTGGCGATGTCTAGTTTTCTTCTTAGGGTTTAAGGTCTAGCCTTAGGATTCTTCCTTTGACTATCTTAGAGCCTTAGTAATGAGACTCACCTCATTTTAGAAGTCCAAACTACTTCTTCACTCGTTTTGGAGTTCTGCATGTGTGGTTCTTGACCTCTAGCATCTACGAGATTGAAACTAAGATGAGAGAACTCGAAAAGAGCCCCTATACGACCATTAAGCCTTAGAGTTGGCTTATGCACAATTTGTACTTTCGCGCACACAAATATCACAACTCGGATAGTCAACACATTTAAATATCACGATTCACACCACCTACACCTGTAAAAGCTTCATAATTAATCGAAACTTAAAATAAAATTTTGAAACGATCAATCACGAACCCAAAATTTTAAGAAAATCGAATTTGATGCACTTTTGACCCGATCGTCGACAAGGTTGTCCATGCGGCAACCGTAGAACTGTCTCCCGTAGCTCTGGAGCTCCTCTCTTGAAAAGATAAGAGAGCTTGAAGTAGACTGAAGCTTGAAAGAGCTGAAGTTGCCTCCTACTCCTATAGCCGTCGACCAACTTAAACTACCATCGACCACCACAAACTATCATCGACCACCACTCGCTTGTCGTCGCGATCACCATCGATCGTCGTCTACTCCTTGCAACAAAGCAGCATGTGAAGCAACAACTGACATCGCGGGGTCGTGAAGCGGCGTATCATCTCGAACACCGGGATGACCCTAAATATGGTGCAACAATGCACCTCAAAGATGGTGTAACAACGCACCCCAAAGACGATGCAACAATGCATCTCAAAGATATGGTAACAATACATCTCAAATATGTTCGTGCAACTCCCGACTTCGGCACCCGCGGCCTTCGAACAACATTACAGCTCACTACTACGACCTACGTGACCAATAACAGCCTACGTGGTCCAAAACTCGTGTAGCTACTAACTTCGGGCCCTACGGCTGCAGACATCATCATGGTTCACGACTATGACTTATACAACCTACATGGTTCACAACTCTCGCAACTCACTACTATGACCCATATAGCCAACCGACGCTCCTGAAACAACTACCTACGAACCACCCGACCAACTAATATTATGGTTAGCAACTACGACTTTCATGACAAGCTGGCATTACAATCACTATATTTAACACTCATGAAGAACTACTACCTCCGCGACAATCGACTATGGTCATTGCAGCCACTGTCGCCAAAAACTACAACCAAATTACGGATATACAACTTTGTAATTTCATCTTCCATAATGCAGGAGATGAGTGGACATGTGTACTTATCATTCATAGTAGATAATTTCAACTGAGTTAGACCCGTGGTTTTTTCCCTATCAAGATTTTTCCATGTAAAAAAGTCAAAATGTCTCCACCTGCTTACTTCTCTTTAATTACCTGAGTATGTGCTGGTTTTTCATGCAATGTTAAGGCGATAAATAATTATTATTCTACTACAGCGAATCATCTAACACACATGTGATCTAATTTATTATTACTTAATTATATTATTTAATTGCAAGAAATGCTACTTACAACTTATATATTATTTTATACACTTGGTATAAAGTAAAAACTAATTTGAAATTTATTCAATTATTTATTTATTTTTATTTGTAAAATCATTATTTAGAAATTTTGTATTAAAAATCAAGCATTCATTAAAATTTTTAATTTTATATGAAAAATTAAATACTCCTTTAAATTTTTAACTTATTCAATTAATATAAGAGGCAGTTACACACATACCACATAATTCTTATATGTTAGCATATCTAACTCCTATGCTTTCATATCTACATATAAAACACTCAATTTCTTTAAGTCACATAAAAAAATATCACCATCAGAAACTTTTTAAAAGTAAAATACAACATTTCTAATGCACAGGTTTTTAATATTAAAGTATTATAAATGAAATATCAAATTTTAGGTGTTAGATATATGATGCATAAAGGATGTCCAGAATGTGTAAATTTTCGTTAATAAAAAGACGCCAACAACAAATCAAATATGATCATTATAAACATTAAGCAAATCAAGCATGAACATATATATATAAAAGCTTGACTCAAAGTCAAATTGAACATAGCCAAATCAAATCAATGGCATACTCGACTCGATTTAGCTCGATTGCAGCCCCAAATACAATTAAATATAAAGATGCATGTGTTGGATATAGAAACATATAAAAAATCAGTAATATGCATGCAAATCTCCATAATGAATCTACACTTTCTTAAACAACATTCACCCAGGCAAGATTCACTCATAAAATGAATGAAGAATATGGATTCATAAGCCAGTCACATACAACTTGGGATTAGGCTGACCAAAATCTTGACAATGATTAGTATTCACCAAGCAAGAAATGCATAAGGTTTAATCTTTAGCCAAAAATAAAGAGAGGCACGACAAAAAGAGAAGCTCGCTTACGTGAAACATCCTTGGGCAAGGACGGCGATTGCTCGGGCACGGTACAGCAGAGGATCGCCCTCCCAATGCCTGTGAGACTCGACATGATTCCTACCAAGTACAGCAACATAACAAAGCCGATAACCCATGGAAACAGAATGCAACCAAGCACGAAGGTAACCGACCCACAGAGAACGAGGGCAAATGAGCCACCGACGAGAATCAAAGCGAAGCCAGCAGGCGAGATTGGAGAGCAGCGCGTCAGTGAAGAGGAGCGCAAAATGTGGGAAGATCGAAGGGAGGTGAAAAGGAGGGCGCAGAGCTCATCGAAGAGCCTCGATTGCTGCAGGTGCTCGCAACCCATGTTTAGAACCGAACCCTAAGGAAGAGCTTCGACAAGCCGGCGGCCTGAAAACAGACTTTATCGTTTGGCTGCTTGATTGGATCAGGAATTATCCACATGTTGAGCAGGTGGATAACCTTAAACTATGGTGCTTGTTTATCCATATATTTTGACAATGCACCAATCATACCCCTACCACTTAATTTTTATGTATTTGTGGTGCTTGTTTATCCATATATTTTGACAATGCACCTATCATACCCCTACCACTTAATTTTTATGTATTTGTATTCCTAACACCTAAATTTTTGGTGTTTATATTTGTACCGTCTAAATCTTTCATATCTGATTTGTGATCCAAAAAAAATTTAGGAACATATCTCAATGCATTTTGAGCAAGAAATATTTCAAATTCAGGATCATTGATGCCCCGATTTTCACAAGTTTATAATCAAACGTAGCGTCTTGACAAGACGAATCCAATGAGATCTAAAGTTATTTAATCTAAGTCTAAATGAGTACATGTCAAGCACTTGAAGTTCAAAGATTTTGGTACATTAATTATGTACCGTCTAAATCTTTCATATCTGATTTGTGATCAAATAAATTTTTAGGAACAAATCTTAATGCATGTTGAGCAAGAAATATTTCAAATTCAGGATCATTGAGGCCCCGATTTTCACAAGTTTATAATCAAACTTAGCGTCTTGACAAGACGAATCCAATGAGATCTTAAGTTATTTAATCTAAGTCTAAATGAGTACAGACCAAACACTTGAAGTTCAAAGATTTTGGTACATTAATTGGAAGAGTGAAATATTTTAAAATTTGACATGTTTATAGTCGAATTGGGCATCTTGATGAGATTAATCCAACAAGCTTAAGATCATTCCATTTTGTGGTCGTTTAGAAACTTAAATATTGAAAAAAATAACCTATAATTGATGAAATCAATGTGGACTGCTCGATGGGGTGGCTTTAGATTAAAGCTGAATTTACTAAAATGTTTCTCTAAAAAATTATAATCATACCCCCATTCTTTAGCTAGCCCTCGTTTGTGGGATTCTTTTTTTCCATCGGTCAAGCGTTGTGACTATGTTGTCAGAGCCGCATTCCCACTTTTTTCAACCCCAAGACGGTGATGTTGTTTTTTGGCATGTTGGTTCTCGAGCTTAACCGAGTTTATATCTTGTCATATTGTGACGTTGATGCACCGCCTCATAGAGTGCAACAAATATAGAGCATTTTGTCGATCAGTCAACTTTGATTTTTCACCAAATCTTACGAGTCTCCTAATCTTTGTAGATCATGTGGACTATAGGATTTTTACCCTGGGTCATTCTCGTACACCCATATGGGTGACAATCCTTACTTTGGTCGTATTTTGGGTCAAGTTCAGTTGCTAAACAAATGAGTCCTTGAGCTTTATAGATCAGGGTTCTTTTAAATTTAATCATGAGCTGTTGTTACACTATTCTGCAAAGGTGGTGGTTCTTCATCTTAATAGATTGACAATACTTACATCATTCATGGTGTAGTCAACATGATTAGATGTAAGTTCATCATCTTCCATTTTATCCTTTTACTGACCACCTATATGAGACATGTAGGATAGTATTCGAGTCTTGCCACTAGCTAGTTATATGTTCCATTAAGTATTTAAGGTATTGGCACATCCCACATCTTGTCTAGGAGATTAAAGGGGTTAGTGCTTTAGTGCCTTCTTGACTGGAATCACTCTGGTCAACAAATTTGGATACCATTCATGTGATGGTGAAAATGTATGTACATTCATGTCATGTATGCATGCCTTGTCGCATTTGTGTGTATTTATTGCAACTGTCATTTCGATAACATTCTTGGACTTCGAGTATGTATTTTTGGGGTTAAGTCCTCAAACTCTTGATTGCAAATCTTGTATGCATCGCTTGATTTCCTCCCTTGTGGAGTTTAATATTAGTGCTTTTGGGGTTTAGTTCCCAAGGCACATCCCTTTAGCATGTATGTGAATTTTTGCTAGCATGTATGTCCATACGCTTGGGGGTATTATACTTTTGGACAATGCCTTGTGTCATTTTGTGCCATATATGACTAGATTTTGTCATGACAATACTCGAATGACTCATAGTTTGACCTATAGTGATAATAGAAAAATAAGTATTACTCACTTTCTTATACAAACAAGTAATATGAGTTATTCTATTATTACCAACTCTCGTAGGATTGTTCTTAACTTAAGTTTAATTAACATTAATCACTTAGGGTGACATGCTATTCAAATGTTAGGGGAGTGGCTTGTTTGGTGACCATTCTTAGATTCTAGAAATATGCTCTTCTAGCCTTGCATCGTATGTCTTACACATAGATATTGGTTAGGCAAAACCTTGTAATTCTTATTTAGAGCTAGGGAGAGGGAATAGTTAGGAATTTTCAAACATAGTTACTGTTTTGTTATTTTTTGCTAGTGGTTATAAAATTTGTGTGCCTTTTTTCAATCAAGATCAACCACTTTTACACAATTTTTCCAAAATAACAAGTTTACCCCCTTAGGCCTTAAGACCTTAGTAGTGAATTAGATTTGATTTAATATCACTTGAGGAGTAGTTAAGAGGAAAATACAAATGACCTTGAAACATTCGAAAACACTACAAGCTCAAACTCAATTAAGGGTAAAAGTGTAAAATTCTCTAAGTTAAAGCACATCCTTAAGGGGGAGTCTATCTACATAACTCTCTATTAAACATTGAAATCAATCATTTACCCTTACACATGGGCCAATTAAGACATAAAACAGTGAGAAAATTATAATAATTCAACATGAGATGGCTAATTTAACAATATAATAAGTCTAAAATGAACTTGAGATAATCCAAGATATTCTAAAGTTGTCCAAATTCACTCTCTAGACACCTCTGCGAGATTTTGGATATTTTATAGGTCATTTGGAATTGCTTTAATTTTTTGAATAAAATTATCCTTAAACATAAGGATGTACTAAGATATTATTCATGACCTTAGTAATTCAATCACATTAATGAAAATCCTTATTACAACTTAACCTACAGTAAAACTCAATGCTTAGGGGCATGAGTTTGAACATTATATTAAAACCCTTTCAACAATTGAGGACATTTAAAATGACTACATATGGATCATTGGGTTGGTGTAAGTTGACAGTCTTGATGGTAAGAGCAGTGATGAAAATGACATTTAGGCATGTGAAGAGTATTGCATATCCTGACCTGATGTTTAAGAATCGACATTACTGCCCTCCAACATTTAGTAAAGAGTGATCCCATATTCACATAGACTGTTGATAACTCTAGTCCAATAATGTGATTGACTCATGAATGGTCTAATACAAGATCATATTGACTGGTACAACATGAGCCCATATTGTTTCTCTTCAAGTCTGGGTTCATATCACTTGGAAGTGGTATAGTTAAGTTTTTGAAGATTTACCTACAAACCACTTAATTCTTATGTACATACACATGTAGCACCTAAAACTTAAATATATATATATATATATATA